CGATGTGAGAGTGTAACACAAAGAAGCGGAGAAATCAAAGCGCGTTTGTTAAACAACTTTCTTTCTTCTACACGTGCCATTTTATGACTTTTTTTTTTTTTTCCCGACGCCATTTTTGACTTATACTTTTGTTTTGTTGGAAAAATCGCATAACAAGGTGCTGCGACTTACACTTTAAACATCCAAAGAATTTCACCTACATTTTAACCAAATTTATTAACGGAATTTTAATAGTGTCGTCACCAGAATTAACTGTTACGTTAAATTTTATGACGGCGCAAACTCAAAAGTCATGTTGGAGGTTTTTTGTGTCAGTATTGTCACTTTGAAAGTTAAAGTGTAAGTGAAATTTTTTGGAGGTTTAAAGTATAAGTGGCATGAAGGTTTTTTATGGCTTTTGTTTTAGTCTTGGTTTAAGTGTAAAGTCTAGATTACCTATTAACGAGTCTAAAGAGCTATAAATACAGAGTTAGTAAGGAAGGCCCAATAAGCCTTTCAAAAGCCCAAGAAATCCCCGTGAAACTACCGTCCGAAGATCACGAGACTGTTGTTGTTATAAAGAACGACGATCTCTTCTTTTTTTTCTCTCAGACTGCTCTGCTCTGGTTTGTGTGTTTGTTCTAAAACAGATTCAGCGAAGATGAGTACAATGAAATTTTGCCGCGAATGGTAAAAACACTATGCCTAAATCTCTTCGACTAAGACTTTATTTCGGGTGGAATTGCACCTTGGTTCGTCGATAGGTTGCTCAGAAGTTTCGAAACTTTGCATGAATTTTTTAGTTTTCGTTGGTTTTGCTTATGATGTTTTTCTTCCTTGACTGTATCATCCATGGTTGATTTCACCTGGCATAAAGGTTTTCAATTTCGCTTAAAAGATGTTACTTTCCCCCTTTTTTTCGAAATTTATCTTCTAGGTCATTTATTGATTTGTTGTTTTCTGTTTGATCTTTTCAGTAATAACATTCTGTATCCTAAGGAGGACAAGGAGCAGAAGATCCTCCTCTACGCTTGCCGTAATTGTGACCACCAGGTTAAACTTGGTTATATTTATTTTGCAAAATTAGGGTTTTAATTAGGGCTCAATGTAGTGCACAAAAAATGTGAGTGGGACTTAGTTACAATTAATCAAGAGACTTAAGTGAAACCCTTTTTTTCTTATCAAGGCTTATCCACCAGGTTCTTATGGTTTTGTTGTTTCCTCTGTTGTGTTCATACTCATGTATAAACTTATTGGAAGAATTAGCTTCTGCGTAGTTATTGGCGTATTGTTAGCTAGATTGTTTTCTTGTAACAAAATAGATCATTTAGATGGCTTTCTTTATCCTCATATCAGAGTTTATATGACTTTTGCAGGAAGCAGCTGATAACAACTGTGTGTACAGAAACGAGGTTCATCACTCTGTAAGTGAACGAACTCAGATTCTAACGGATGTGGCTTCCGACCCAACTCTTCCCCGTACCAAGGCTGTGCGTTGCGCTAAGTGTAAGCATGGAGAGGCTGTCTTCTTCCAGGTCAAAACTATCTTCTTAACTTCCATCATTACTTTACTACTACTTAGTTATGCTTAAATCAAACAAGAAAGCTTCAACACCAACTCTCATTGAATCTAACAGGCTACGGCTAGAGGCGAAGAAGGAATGACACTCTTCTTTGTCTGCTGCAATCAAAACTGTGGTCATCGCTGGAGAGACTAAAGAGCTTTCTCGATCATCATCAACCTATGTTTTGATGAGTTTTTCAAGAGTTTTAGGACATTGATGTTGATGTAGTTACTAGTAGGTGTGAGATGTTGAATGGTGGGAACAATATTTTGTCCTCTACATAGACAAATCCTTATTAGGGGAGAGACTAGTCGTGTGAGAATGATCATAAAGATCAATGATAAAAAAAGACCAAAAAAACAGAACCTTTTGAAATCATAATCTCAATGAGTTTCACCAAACAAAAAGATTGAAACTTGTTTCTCTTTGGCTACTGTCCTCCACGGCTCATCTCCCAGAAGGCGACCTCGTGTTCAAGAACACGTACAAGAACATCTTCAGCTTCGGCTAGAACATGGCCGGAGGCATTCTCAAGACAACGTTCGGCGATGTTCTTGACAGACGAACAATACTGTTTAAAGCCGTCATTGCCCCACCGTTGGCAAGCTCCGGTTAGCTCCGCCGGAGTTTTGTTCCCGTCTTCTAAACAGTGAGCAAAGCTCTCTTGATACACTGCTTCGATCGCCCAGAAAGCTGTCATAATCACCGAATATTTCACCTCATCGCTCATCAGAGCTTCCAGAAACCTTTGAAGACACCACAAAATCGTTGTTTCTAATTTCAATTTCGAGTGTGAATCTATCAATAATCAACCATTTAAAAAATCGAATACCTGCTATAGTCTTGATTCGCCTTTTGAGGCACAACGGTCGAGAAATCAACATCCCATTTCGATCCTTCTCTTTTAAACCATTCGATTTCATCGCTCAACGACGCTAAACCACCAAGCACGACTTCCATATCGGAACTCTCGCCGGATTCTTTACCGGCTCTGATCAACGCATTCGCCACGAACGGCACAAATCCTCTCACGAACAGATAATCTTGCCCCTGCAACAAAACAAAACGCCGTCGTTTAAAATTCACGAGTGAGAGATTTCAGATTCTTCAATTTTTCCCAATCAGTAACTAATACAGTACCAGCCAAGTCCTGAAGGACGAGAGATCAACGGATCCGTCGCGGATAGAGACGACGAATGGATGACGTGTCGCCGCCGTGTGAATCGAACGGTGCTTATCAAGCCACGTGTCGATCATCCCTCTCTTCTCCGGTTTTTCCATTGAAATTGCTTCTTCTTCTTCCTTTCTCTCCGGATTCTTCATCGACCCATCTTGTCTTTGTCAACGTTTTGACTTATCTGCACAACTGTAACGTGCACGTTTAATGGGCTTTAAAGTAATGGCCCAAGGCCTATTAAACTCTCGCTATAAAATCAACGGCAGTAAAGAGACTATTAAAGAACGTTGATTACGTGGCGATCTCTGAATCGTTCGATGTATTCAACTGTCGCACGTCATGTATCTTAGTTAAAAGAGTGATGACGTGGAAATAATTTATTTGGAATTATTTGTTTTCTGTTGTATTTCTCTCACCGTAATCACCTCTCCATAGTTGTGTGACGAGTTCCTAATTTCTGTGTTTATTTATTATATTTTCTGTTAAACGGATCGGGGACGAGCGAACTCCGGCGGCGGATTGTTTCTCCGGCGAGATCTCCGGCGATAAGATGGCGGAGGAGAGATATAATCGGAAGAATCCGGCGGTGAAGAGGATTTTGCAGGAGGTTAAGGAGATGCAAGCAAATCCGTCTGATGATTTTATGTCTCTTCCTCTTGAGGTAACATTTTCGATAGTCGACCTATAGAGCCGGTTCTAGATTTTGAGATCGGAGGTGTTCGACTTTTCCATCTATGTTGTATACTTTTGATCTCTGTGTGTTTATCTACTTTTTTCCCTCTGGAAGAGAAGGTCATTTCTCTTGCTGAATCATTCTTTCGTGTTTCTATTCGTGATTGGGATAATTGAGATTTGAGATAAATTTGGATCTGTTCTGTCGCTAGAATTTACTTCTACCGATGATTCGTATTTGTACTTCGGTTTCTGCTTGCATAGATCTCGATATGGTGTTTTGTGATGTGTTTTATTTCGTCATGAGTGATGGTATTTGATTTATGACCGAGATTCTCATGTATTCTCTGAATCTGCTAGTCTCTCCTCATGGCATACTCTTGCAACAGATGAAGTTAGATATTTGTAGTGGGTATTTGTGTTTTTTTATTGGAATAACTGAGTCAACTGGGGAGATTGTGGACCGTCCCTTGGTCTACTGCAACTGTGATGCTAGTTATCCGTTTTCACAACCCTCTTCTTTCAGAGAGTGTGGCAATGTTTTAGCTGTTTTGACATGATTGCTCTATTTTTGTTAACTTCAGGAGAACATCTTTGAGTGGCAATTCGCCATCCGAGGTCCTGGTGACACTGAATTTGAGGGTGGGATTTATCATGGGAGAATTCAGCTGCCTGCAGATTACCCTTTTAAACCTCCTTCATTCATGTTACTGACCGTAAGGATCTTACTCTCTTTCTTTCACACCTAAAAACACTTATGTTGCTAGGGGAAAAGGAGAGTATGTATCTAAGAGTCTCTTTGCTTCTTCTTTTTCAGCCTAATGGTCGTTTTGAAACCAATACCAAGATTTGCTTGAGCATTTCAAATTACCATCCCGAGCATTGGCAACCTTCATGGAGTGGTAAAGTTGCAGACTTTTTTTGTATTTCCACGTGCCTACCACCAGGAACATGTTATAAGATACCAACTAAGCAATTACTTTTGATGCTTAAGTGAATTGTTCTGTAAACCAATCCACCTTATATCTTAACTGTTACATTGTTTCTTAAATGAGCACAGGAAGCTTGTAATTTACATGAGGTTGAAGTATGTATCGGCTCTTTGATCATGTGATTGATCTTTTTTTCTTTGCAGTTCGGACTGCTTTGGTGGCACTCATTGCGTTCATGCCTACAAGCCCCAATGGAGCACTGGGCTCAGTAGATTATCCAAAAGAAGAGAGACGTACACTAGCCATTAAATCACGTGAGGCACCACCCAAGTATGGCTCTCCTGAGCGTCAAAAACTTATTGATGAGGTATACTCCTCTCTAGACATCCTTTAAATTTTGTACCAGTATGCATAACGTTCTGGTGAAAATATATGAATTTGACTAGATGTTTACATTGATCTGCACTATTGAACCTTTCTCTGTATGGGGTATTTATCATTTCTTCATGACAAACCACATCAATAGATGTTGGTTAAAATGGTCATATAGCATATTAAACTCGCATATCTCAAGCGCTAATGTTTCATGAGTATCAGCGATTGCCCTCAAATAATACAAGAAACTCTGCTTACTTCTTACCCCAATCACATCTGTTATTGCCTGCATACAATTAAGTTTGCTGCTAGAGTCCTTAACTAAAGGAATAACACCATTTTACCTGGTCCTACAACTATTTTCATACAAAAGTAGTGTTAATAGTCTCCTTTTGGTTTAAAATCTTGACACTTTCGTCATGTATTTTGGTATGATTTGAGTTTCCTACCTAATATTCATCTTCAGTTTAGAAAGAACTTTCTTAATCTGATCCTTTTAATAAGTGCAGATTCATCAATACATCCTTAGCAAAGCAACCGTGGCACCAAAACCTAATCCTCAAGAATGTAACAAAACACTTTCCACTGAGTCAGAAGCTCAGTCCCAAGTTGAACCAGAGGAAGCCGTAACAGCAGTGGAGGAGCGGTCCATCGCTACAACAGACACCATAGCTGATGATCAAATCATCGAAGAAGCAGCTGAAGCAGCCAATACAGCAGCTACTGTGAGTCCCACTGCAGGAGCATTAGCAACGGTTGAGGTTACGGCCAAAGCTTCTGGAAGTGGCGATCAGGCGATGGTCAGAAGAGCGGCTCAGAAGCCAGTTGATGACAGACTGTTCACATGGGCAGCGGTTGGACTCACAATCGCAATCGTGGTTCTTCTCTTGAAGAAGTTCATAAGATCAAGTGGTTACGGTGCCGGGTTTATGGATGAGTCTTGAACTCTCATGTACATCATCGATTCAAACCAGTCAAAACTTGATCGACGAATGAAAGCGTGAAAAAATCGATGATGCTATTGGGAAATGGGGGGTTTTGTTGTTTGATATATATAACTATGATTAAAAGTGCATAAAAATGTGGTAAATAATTATGTGTGACATTGCCTTGCAACTTAGTATGATAGATTCGATTATAGTTTGTGACCAAGATAACAATATGTATTTTGTATTGGATACACAGCTTTATTGCTAGTAGTTGAAGTGTGATGTATCCAATCCAATATGTTTATAAAAATCATAACTATTTCTCATTTTGATATGCATGTATAATTCGTGTGATGTATATTTGTGTGTGTGTTCTTTATTAAATTTTAGTTACACATTAATTTGGTGTGATACACAGAAGTGATCTCATATTTGTACCTCAGTCTTCACTTTTCAGTTCGTAGAGAAAAAAGGTTCCAACTTTGACCTGAGTCTTTGACTGCCAAACATTCAAAAACAAAAGAAAAAATCAGTGAATATAAACAAGGTTAAATGATGAAGTTAGCATTAAATTTAGTTGTTTGTAATTAAAAAAATATTAAAATATAAAGGGATTATTGATTAAACAGCACACAAAAATAGCAAGTTTGAAGTGTGTCCTTTTGCTACATCAGGGATTCTCAGGTACTAAAAACTAGCAAACTCTGATTTTGCGTGTATGTGAAGTCAGTTAAAGCTTTAACCGCTCTTGTTTCTCTCTATTACCATTATTAATATATTAACAGGAAATAATCACCATGTACAGTACGTTCTAGTTTCGAAATTAATTAAAAAAACCAAAACAAAATACTTTGAAAAGATATTGCAAGACTCACTTTGGTCATTTTACAATATC